TCACAGCTGTTATGTCGCCCACAGCGCCAAGCATTGCTGCAGCCGCCCCGACCTTTGATCAGCGCAACGAGAGCGTGCTACGTGCAACCTCTTTGGTGCTACATCTTTACGAAGCAAGCAAGCTCTGCTGTGCCCCATCGATCAGCAAACGGTACCGCTGCCACCCGCCACCCGACCGTATGTACTGCTCCTCACACAATGGTCCAGTCCTCGCTTCCGTTTCTAACCATATTCCTCGTCTGTCCTTGCCTACTGCTGCTCGCCTCCGCTTCCAAGCCCCTCCTACTTGCCGTCCCCCCCTTCCCCCCCAGAAAAAACCGATCGCCAACCACAAAGGCTGATGAGCGTAGTAACAATTGTTGGTCTCTCTGCCTCATCACACATGCTTTGCTGCCGCCCTCAGCATCACAAGTTTACGGTAGTTGGGACGTTACAGGGTGAGATGACAATGGCAAGCAGAACTGGGTCTGGGGCGCACCGCAGCGCCCCGCCTGCACTGCATTGCATTGTGGCTGCAGAGATTGAAGGCAGCGCCCACACAGGCGTACGAGGAGATGGGGACATATCATACAAATGACTTCAAAATCATGGTAGGGGCAGGGCTGGCAGCCGATTCAGTCCAGTGGTGAATGTAGGGTCAGGTGGTGGGACAGTGGCCGATCATCAGCTGGGATAGGGTTGCAACACATTCGGGTGTGTCAGGAAGAGACGACGCAGCAAAACACGGAAACATCCTGCAAGTGACGCGCGCCACCGGCCGCACTCAGGGCGCCGATCGCTGTTGAGCGCCTGCCCCGCAGGGACGGCAGCCACCAGGGCAGTGCGCTGCATGGGGCGCTACATGTCGGGTATGCTGTTGAGGCTGTAGCCCTCGACACCTCGCCAGGCCAGGTATGCGACGCGCGTGTGGTAGGCGCCCGGGATGAAGCAGATGCTGCCCAGCACCAGCAGGGCCGTGGCTGCGGCGCCGCGAGTGGCGGGCAGATGGGGGCGGGCGGGGCGTGAGGGCGTCGCGGTGCAGGGCGCTTGCTGTGCTGCGGCGGGGGCCGCAGCAGCACGCCCCATCCCCTCAGAATCGGCATCGGTAAGCGCCCCCGTTGCCGATCCAACCGCTCCAGGGCGCGCCCACGCACGTGTGTGTGCGTGTGTGTGGGGGGAGGCGCGGGCATCCATGTGCGTGTGTGTGGGGGGAGGCGCGGGCGTCCACGCGCAGCTGTCTCATCGCTCTGCTCTCGAATTTCAGTGCTGTGACAGCCCTGACC